TGACCTTGATACACAACTTCACCATTGAAGATCAATTAAAAAATAAAAATATTTGCTAGAATTTGCATAGTTTCTCACCAAATCAGGTTCCTCGCGAGCCATTTTGCTTATTTTGAGAAGCTGGTTCTGAATATGAAATCAGTTTTGAGATGCAATAATTATTTTTCGCGCAAACGCCGCGATCTTGACCTCAGGTGCCACGAAGTCTTGGACTGTTTCGTCCTAATGCGGTAGGCGGTTATATTTCTCTATAATGACAGACGATATTACACCGAGACTGGGATAGTCCAGTCCCACCGATTTTGTAGCAATTCACAACTGCTCGGGACTCAAATCGACAAGAATGTCCTGTCGTAATAGGTGAGGTACATAACACTCTAATTCAAAGGTTTCAAACTCCTGACGGGTCCGTCCCTGGACAAACTGCCGTAGTGCGGTACTAGCCTAACTATTTCGGTATAAACTACTGACCTAAATGTCGGACGGTGTAAGCAGTTCTGTTGTATTTCACTTCCAGGCACCAGGCAGCCAGGCGGTATATGAACATGTTTGCCAACATGAAGATGTCTGTCAAAGCGAGACTAAAGAGGGAAATATTGATAGTGTCAGAAAAGCCTTGCCTGTAGATCACGGCGGGGTTAAGAGAGTTTGCTGCCGTCCCGACCACTCAGACAATAAATGTAATTACATCAAATATGTGGCGTAGTTCGAATACGGTTTCGCTGATTAAGCCTGTTAACAGATTGGGCTCATCCTCGGGACAAGGACAGGTCAGTCCATTCGTCTTCAAGTATCCAGAAAGTGTTGTTGTCTCAACCGAACTCTTGCAAAGATCGCTCATTGTGGTAAAAATCCTTCCCCCACTTTGGCAAACAGTTACAATACAGCACCGGATCCAAGAGCTGAGTTCCCAAGCCTTTTCTTATGTCAGACACTGGTGGCTCTCTCAGGTCAACTGGAGAGGACAAAGCATTCCCTCATTTCTTTAAACATCTACGAACAGGTCTCAGAATTTGAGAATAAGTTTCGACAAGTGCGTGTATTTACAAAAGAAATGAAAAATTGATTACAATTGAGCGCAGCTCACACAGAGGTAATAGTTGTGCTATTCTGAACGACTTTGATTTAAACAATGAGACTCTAAAATTAACAAAGTAATTAACTAGACACACTGCTCAAGGATCATTTCTCAAAATCAAAATATTTTCTAGGGATTTTCAGCAAATACAAGTAAAGAATAAACTACTACTGCTGGCCTAGAGGTCGAGAAAACTGAGAACTTGATCAGTCAATTCTGCATGATAGATCGACCCGGAACTCTTTAAAAAACGCATAAAACTATTGACCGGCACTAAGATCTACAATGAAATGAAATTCACAGGAGGTCTTCCATTTAAACGGTATCCCACTGAGTTTGCATACTATAGTTATGGCTCGGTTAATAACATTCCTGTATACAGTATGTATAGTATAGGACATTTAATTCCAGGTTGCCATTGCAAAGTTGTTAGTTTCTTTACACGAGCTGCTAAGACGGCATACAGTAATAATAGACATTTTCTCAACTCAAACACCACCGTTTTGATGCAAATAAGATTATCCTGACAAGTAAATCATACAAACAGTAAATATTGAAGGAGTGGATTCGCTAGCTTGTTTCAAAGGAGACAAAGAAGGGGTGCAAATGCAAAGTAAGAAAATGTGGGCATTAATGTCGCTCTCTAAAAAAAGAAAAAAAAACCATCAAAATTTGTTTTAGTCTGAGAAATGATTAATACACGCTTGGTTCTCTTGCAAGTGCAACCGTGGGCTACTAGATCTATGTGCTGGAGAAGACTATAATGTTTGATTTTTTCGTCGGACTTTAGGAGGGGGGGGGGGGGAATCTTCAATCCAAATTGTTTGGCAAAATGTAATCCGAAGTAAACAGGTATTGACTCAACGGTTGTTTTGAGTAACAGTAAACTCTAGTCCTCCTTTCGGAACATACTTGACCCATCCAACTCACGGCAGCTTGATACTTGAAGTCCTGGCTCAATGTCTCCCGCATGTAACTGATAATCGACCTGCTTTGTGTAGCCTACGTGACGTCTAAAAAAGCAATGAAAAAGTTATAAGTCGAATAACGTCAGCTTGAATATTGTTAATTTCTTCACTACTGTCGAAAAGAAGGCGGAAGTAGAGGTGTCTGAGTCACGTACGGAGACTTTTTTTCTTGTGATTATTTTATTAGGGTTTTGTTTTTTGTTTTTTGCTTTTTTTTAGGGGGGTGGGGTTGTTTTGTTGTAGATTTTTTTGTGGTCGGTTGTTTTTTGTTGGGTTTTTGTTTATTGCATAACGAACAATTTTTGTTTCTTCTTTCATTAAAAAAAACACAACTTGTATCGTGACATTTCTCCACGTCAGAATTACAAAATTCTATCGGACATTTTTGGCTGTGTTGAGTTATTAAAACCATGAGGTCAGAAACCAAATGTTTTACCTCGTCTATCAAAATGACAAGAGTATTCGGAGTCATTATTGGGATGTTCAAATCAAAGAGTTGCATTCTGAAAAGCTTGACTTGGTGTGAATCTTTAAATCTTTGACGTTACTGCTTTGCAGTTAGAACTTTGTAATTCTGAGGTAGCGATTTGTTGTACCACGCATGTACCGCGCCATAGTTTACTCCGTAGTTTCATCTTAAAAAGAATCGTTGTGTGGTTTGCCCCTTCTTTCCGATCAAACATAATCAAACATCATAATCTTTCCTCCTTTTATTTGTACACTACCCACTAGCAACACCTCTAATATACGACAGATTATTTTCCTTATTTGCTGTGTAAGAACAGTAAAACGTTTACTAAAACTAAAACTTAACAGAAAAGCGTTTGTAAGTTGAGCGCTCTTTTAGACACATCGTAGAGAAGCCACTTCAGATGCCGGTTATTCAACTGTTAAATTAAAGAAAAATGTCCCCTCAACGATCTAAAATTCGGACTGCACTTGGATTCAAACATGAACATTTATGGTGTGTTTAGCATTGTAATTTTCAGTGCAAAACAGCTTCTAGCTGTCTATTCTGTTTTGACTGTTGGGAAAAACAGCTTTAAAAAATCATTTAAAAAATTGCCAAATATCAGTTTCTAGTTACCATGAATGAGGTAACTTATATTACAGACTAAGCAAAATGATAAAAGATGAGAAATGATAGGATGAATTGATATAAAATAAGAAACAGTTTATTCATCCTCTTTTTTAATAATTTGATAATAGTATTACAATTTCAATAGCGTCGTCGCTCGCCATACAAAATACCGCACACATTTTGTATCATACAAAAGAAAGACAAACACATATTTACACTCACACTCACACACACACACACACACACACACACACACACACACACACACACACACACACACACACACACACACACACATACACACACACACACAAACACACACACACACACAGCGATAATGCAATAATCAGATTTGTTTACCAACTTCCTAAAAATCCTACTCTCAACTCCGCTATTATAAAAAATAAACAGTCATGAATTAAAGAAGGTGGATGTGGGTAGCCCCCCCCCCCCCCACCCCCATTTATCATAATGTAGGCTATACATGTACTTAGTAAGCAGTATGTGCTATAAAACAGTCGACTGAAATTGAAACGTCTCTTTTTGTAGGATGTAACTTTTGATATATTTTTACATTGTTCTCTTCCACTGGTTTCACAAAACTCAGTGAAAATACAAACAGGCCAGAGGTTCGACTATGATACTTGACCGACGATCCTTCAGTTGTTCAGAAAGTTCATCCCCAAAGTAAGATTCTTGATTACCAAATATCTTTCCCTACTTAAGAAACTGTCTTTCAAATCTGTCCATTGGTAATGCATCCTCAGCATTGCCTCTTTCAGAGTTTGTCCTGTACCTAAGATGGAGAACAAACCAACGATGAACTCTGAGAAGTGTCGATCGGGAATGATTTTCAACAAATTCTGAATGGTAACCTCATCCTGACCACCAATCAGAGCACGGGTATTGCGAGGGCTATTTGTTTACATAAATACATTATGTTCAACCAAAGAGTCTACATAATAAGAGGGGCCACTTCTCTCTTTGAGCCAATTAAAAAAGTGTCCTCAAAATTCGGTGGCGCCCTGTTCACAAAAGCGCACCTTGCGAACAGAGTTACCCTACTTGAGTTTAAAAAATAAAAGTGAAACTAGCAAGTTTTTGAATAAATTTCGGAAGAACGCTTTTTTAAAATGGTTACGCTGACAAAAAACCTTTTCCGGGGGAAGGGGTGATTGTTTTCTTCGTTTAATTTGACTTTAGAATGAAAGGCGAGAGGTCATTAAAAAAAAATTTTAAACTTAAACTCCACACTGAACGAACCCGAACTGCTGATGAACAGCAGTCGATCTGCGCACGCAAGGAGGTGCATTTCCTATTCTTCTTCTGGTAAAACGAAAGAGAGCTTCAAAATAGACTGCAGCGCCATCTGAAGCAAAGAGCGCACTTCCTGCGGACACTTTTTTGGCTGAGTGGCCCATCTTGTTATGTACTATCTTTGGTTCAACTCCCAACTTCACATATGGCTACCTCGGCATTACAAAGTTTTATCTGACATTTTTGACTGTATGAGCTGCTACAACCGTACGGTCAGAAACCAAATTAGATGTACTATAATGTGCTCTATCAAAACTGTAAGATTATTCAGAGTCGTAATCGAGATATTAAGACACTACAAGAGCTCTGGTGTGGTTTGCCCCTTCTTTACTATCGAACATCTATCGTCCTTATATATATCTCTCTCTCTCCCTTCTTCATTTTATGTTTGTTACTCTCTTGTAACTGGCCACCCTACCACAATATGCCGAAGGACCAGGAAGTTGACTCACTAATTAGGCAGTTCCCATTGTCCGGATCGGATACGGGAACCACTTTACTTTTTTAAATTCTCATGAGGCAACTCTAATCTTCGGATCGTATATACCCTTATTCTGTTGCAAGTGTTGTAAAATTTTCACCAAAACTGAAGTAGTAGTAAGGTGCTTCGCTGTCCCATCCAAAAGACTCAAGTGCGATTCTCTAGTGAGGTGGCATTTTATTTAGTACAATGTATCCATGTCCTTCTGCTGAGAATAGTGTTTCTTTTTCAACCCAGATGGGCATCAGCAGAAGCCCGCCTCCTAAATTATCTAACTTGTGTCCATGCCCTCGAACCCCGATTCTCTTGCATTGTAAGCTCGTACATCTAATTGGTTTTGTGGTATTTGCATGACTGTTTCACAGCAGAAAAAAATAAATTTGATGTTCTCTATTATGTTCCCTGACCAATTTCATTTCTGTTCACATTCTTACACTTTCGTTATTTATGCAGTATTTCCCTGTGGCTTTGATACGTTTCCTGCAGCAACAAACAAAAAAAGAGAATATCACAGGGGGAAAACGGCATCAGTCACAATTTTTCAGTTTTTCCATTGGCTGTTTCTACCTATTTTTGATTTGTGCAATTTTGTCGTCCAATACCGTTTTCGTGTAATCCTGTTGTTCTTATCAGGTGCAAAGCAACTAAGGAAACAAAGTCGATACACTGGTCACCTACGGGTTTCCGAAACAAAGAGACTATCTCCATTTTTTCTGGACTAAGTGAGTTCATATTTTTAATGTGGTAACAGTTATTTATATACGAAAGCGACAGGCGAAGTTCATTTGGACACACAATGCAGATGGAAGTATTGGAGAATATTGTAACAGCAGACACGTTTGATGGAATGAGAGGCAGAGATAGGCAAAGGAAAAAGATTCTTGACAGGTTGACCATAAGAACGACGGACATTATTGCGGCAACGCAAGACAGAGTAAAGTGGAGGTCCATGATCGCCCACGTCAGTCGGCAAGGCACCAGATGGTGATAAAAAGTAAATTTAACTCAAGGAGATACAAACGCTCATTCTAAACTTTCAATAATCTTTCATACCAAATACTGAGTACTGAAATCAAAATTTAATCTCTGCCCAGCTTTTCTCCGCGCCGAATTTCAAGATATTCACGTCGATTGGGCATCAATATGTGTTCATACTTTTCCTGGTACAGCTTTGCAACAATCATCGAAATAGCTGACTGGTCAAACCTGTGGCACACGCCGTAGTGATATAGACCTTCCCTGCGTCTGCACATGGTCCTCACTACTTTTGGGTCAACCACATGAAGCGGACACATGCATTTGTCGTCAAGGGCACAAGCAGCCCAGGGCTCAAGGACTGACCTACGAACAAAGTACTCGTTGTGAAATATCCAAAAGCAGCTCGAACTCTCCCTGTAAGGGAGGTAGGAGCAAGGTTCGTCTCCGAAAAAATGAAACGTTCGCGTCATGGTAGTGTGCGGGATGTGGTGTCTGGCCAATCCGGACTGGAGGCCTCTGAATCGTGCTCGATCAAGTAATCGTTCGAATTTCCGGAAGTTTGAAAAAAATCTAATGGAAGCGTCCATCCAAAAGAGCAGCTGAGTTTGAGCAATGTGAGCATTCACAATGAGAGGTTTCCATGTGTAACATTTTAAGTAGCTGCAAAATTCCGGAAATAGATGAAATGGGAAAGTTAGAACTTTACAACGGCATTTCCTTGAAATTTCTCCTTTCTGACTTTCGTTGAGGCCAAGATCGTAATAAATGAATGTGTAGTTTTTCAACTCCAGATGTGGCAAGAGATTTTCTCGCACATTGCGAAGTAACGACAACGATTCCTCGAAGTGGTTGGCAGATGCTCCGGTCACTAGCATTAATTCATAGAAGCCTTTCACCTGTTTTTGCATATACTGTAGTCCTTCACGATGGAGTTTGGATATCTGCAGAAGAAAAGGTGTGAGATTGGTAATTGTGAGGCATCGTGCTGAAATCAGGCTCTCGTCCAAATAATGAAATCTAAGAAATGGCATTTTTCTTTACGTTTGGAATTTTTAAAAATTGAATTTTCATTTACTTTTTTAAAAATTAGTTGCTCTCTGGGTTTTCTGAAAACTTTAATTAAAGGCACAAAACTTGTAAATTTGCGGTTCCTAAGGACTCTAAGCTTTGGAAATTACCAAACTTTGGCGGCCCTTTTCTCACTTATTTTATCTCTGACCCTCACCTCCTTTAATCGCAAATGTCCCGACTTCTATTCAAGATAGATGAGTAGGCAAAACAAATTAACAATGTTTAGGGTGATATGCCCAAAAATGATATTGACTAGCACCTTATTCCAGCGCGTCCTGACATAATTTACATAATTACAGACACCAGATAATCGATCAACCGGAAGGGGATAAACCCCAGCAAATGCAGGCAATTTAATTTTTAAAAAGTTGGTGACCGACCGGATTCCTTTTACGCCAAACTGACCTCAGACGTCAGCCGTTCGCAGATTGTCATGCGAGATGTCAATTCAGCTTTCGAAAAAAATAATAATAAAAATAAAAATAACTCGGATCTATTTTGTTTGTATATTTGACTGCCTGTCTGTTTTTAGTACTTCCAATACGTTTGTGGTCCAGTGTATGAGCAGAAAATGTTTAAGTTGATGGTCTAATGGTCAGACTATTGGGGTCGCAGCCGAAAGATCGTTGGTTGGAACCCCGTTGGGGTCCCGACGTTGTGTACTTGAAAAAGGCACTTTACACGAATTTTCCTAATTTCAGCCAAGTAGGAATAGGTAACTGGCCACAAACGGCAAAAAATGCTGTCAGTTTGTAAGTGCGGGCACTTAATCTGCTGCTTGCAAGGTGAGGTTCTCGGGACGCCAAGATGTCTGAGTGTTCTGGGTCTGCTGTGGTGGTACGGTAATATACAGGGTGATAAAAAAAACTGTACAACTTTTTTTGCTAATATTTTCCTCGACACTGAAGTTATGCGCTTCAAATTTAAAGACAACATTTGGAAGTCAAAAAGAATTTGTCTGATATTCATTTTAGAAAAATCCACTGAATAGTTTTGTTGTACATAGCGTGTAAAAAAAACAACCCATTTTCAGCTATGTCCCATTTGTTGTAGCATGACGCACTAGTTCACATTAGGCCTACCACTAACAATCCCACCGATTGAGCCACATTGCATTCACTGCAGTGGTCTAACAGGGCAATAGAAGATTGACGATAGTTTTTCTCAAGTTGCTTTGCCTGATGATATAATGGTTAAGATAGATAAAGAGCAGAGAGCTTTGTGTATGGAACATTTCCTCCCCACCAACTCATTTCGTAAATTTTGCACAAGGTACGGAAGTAATGTTAAAGTGCCATTAAGGCCTTCTTTGATGTCAAGGGTGGAAATTGTCCATCAGTTAGGACCTGTAGAGAATCAAAACTTAAAATTCCTGGACAAAAACGACCTTTTCAGGTCAAACACACACCGTTCGTACCCCTTTCAACGTTACCAGGGTGCAGAATTCAGTAGCTGAGCCCCATTAGACATCTGTCCGTAGATGATGTCTGCAGCAATAACTTTCCTCCATCTCACCTGTCCGCATTCTCGAGGCAGATCTTCATCTACGAGTGTATTATTTTCCTGTTTGGAAGCTATCAGAGGATAGCAATGTGTTCATGATTCCTCGATCGTCCTGAAAAGCGTGAACATTTGTTCCTTGGCAAAGCCTATAATATTCACCTTTCAGCTTATATCAACTCCACAAAGGCTGTCTATTTGGGCAACCTCCCCCATCCTTCTATTGTTTCTAGAAACAGCTCCATACTGTAATGTGTACAGTGTATGTGGCTTTGATTGCTCATGGTTGAGTGAATCCTTGTGTTTGGCCACCAGTGAACATTACGAACCACGCAATGTGTCTAGTCCAAAGGATGACATATAGACCATTGGTTCTTGGAATTCCAGAATTTAAAAAAAATATTTTTTTTACTCTTTAGCACCAAAGAAATATTGTTTAAAGGTTACAGGGATGAAAGGATTAGATTTTTAAAATAAAACGAAAAGGAAAAAACACACCAATCATTTCATGACTTTCCTTACAAGTTCTTTTAAATTGGTGCATTTTGCATTTATAGGTGATTTTTCTAGAAGCAACTTCCGTTTTCAAAAATATGTTTTTTCTTTGTGAATTTTATGTCAAACAAATTCCTTTTGAATGAAGTACATCTTTTCCAAATTATAACTTTCTAGTACCTATTTTGTTTGAGATAATTTTTTTAAAAGTTGTACAGTTGTTGTTGTTTTTATCACCCTGTAGATTGTCAAGTGCAGAGTTTGCTGTAGAGCGGAGATATACGCTAGACAAATGTTATTACATGAATCTACTATTTAAGTAGAGAACTGCCTACAAGTGTGTTTATTATGTGTGAGAGAGAATACCAAACATCAAATAAAATGTGATACATGTGTATCGGTGATTTCATACTCAAGTAAGTAGTGTTTACAGGTCTGTATTGGAATATAATATTGACATATTATGTCACTTTTGACCTCTGTATATATATATATATATATATATATATATATATATATATATATATATATATATATATATATATATACAGAGGTCAAAAGTGACATAATATGTGAGTTAGCGTGGTGGAATCAGGCAAAATAATCAAAGTGAAGAAACTTGCTTTTTCCGCAGGTTTGTGAATTTTTCTTAAATTTTTGTTTTTTGGCTCAACATCGTTCATGTCCATTAAAGAACTCATGTCTGTGTGGATTTTTCTGAAAAACATTGAATAAAGGCACAAAAAATGTAAATTTTCAGTTACGACGGACTCTTAAGCTAAGGAAATAACTAATCTTTGGCGGCCATTTTCTCACTAATTTTACTTCTGAAAACAAGTGACCCCCACCTCCTTCTTTCGTAAATATCTCGACTTGTATTCAAGATAAATTGATATTTTTTTCATCCAAATAAAGACAAGTGAACAAGCTTTACGGTGATACCAATACCTCTACATGCCCAAAAATTGACGAGAGCCTGATTCCACCACGCTGCCTCACATATGTATATCGTCGACTAGTTGTTCAGATGTACTATGCCCAAAAGTTTAAATGTTGTTTTTATTACAGTTTCTTAGTCTGTGGTATTGGTTGCATGTACTCCTGAAATATTTGGTCGAAATTCAAATTTCGAATATCTAAAAAAGCTCAAAAAGATACATTATGTAGGAACAGCTTGTAGGAAAATGTAACTTGTTTTTCTTTTCTTTTTTCTTTGAAAAGTTTTACTTTCTTGGCTTGGGGCATTTAGGAAGCTTGCTGAAGATATCATATTGATTACTGATGTTGGTCTAAGCAGTCTGTAGCCTGTAAATGGATCACCTGCCCTGGGTAGGCGTCTCAGCTGCAACCATTTTATGCAAATCAAATGTTTCAAAGTCATCATGGGTAAGGCGGTATTTGTCACAGGAATAATATTAACATTTCTTTCAGGCGTCCTCATATCAACTACTGCAATTCTTTCCATGCCCTATAGTTTTAATATGTTTACCAAGACAGCCCTTTCTGTTAACAACTGCGTTGGCGGAGAAAAGGGAGCAAGCCAAACAACCAATCAAAACAAAAAAGGTAAAAATGTTCAATTGTCACTTACGCCATTCTCCCCTGCACTCCTCAAATACTGCGTCCAACTTACCCTGAGGTTTTGTGGCGTAACAAGCTGTTCCACCCTGGATTTCAGAGTTGTGGGCAGCTTCAGTCGCAGACATCCTCTCTCCGAGCAGGTGTTCCCAATGACAGTGGAATTTGAACATGTTCCTTGCTGATGTTCTATTTCAAAGTCATCATCTGTCGAAGAGGAGGCTGCTCGAAGTTTTTCTTGAAGAACCTCGGTTAGCATTGCGACTGTCTCCTTCAGATCATCCGTTGACGTGGTATGGTTTGTGGAAGGTACACTTTTGATCTTGGAGTGTCGTATTGTTTCGTTCCCTATTTGATCTAGATACTTTTGGATAACGTTTGCGTTGGGTGAATTTGATGCCCATCGAGGACTTTGATATGAATTGTTCAAAGTGTTAACAGTTTTAGTCACGTTAGAATCATGTCTGTGATTTAGTAACACGGGTGCAAATGATTTTGTAACGCTTTGCTTCAAATATGAACTTAACATGAACAGTGTTAAACATGTGAAACATACTAAACTAAATTCTCTTTTGTGTCGACTTAAAAATCTTATCAACATAATTATTGTTATATACAAAACCTCAGCCTGAGAACAGCGCGAAAAGAAAAAGTAACGTTGTTTTTTAAAGGTAAATATTGTGAGAAAGAACAGAACCGTGGAGAAAAGCAGAAATAGATTTGAACTTCTCGTTTAACAACACCGCGTCTTCTGATACAAGGTATTTATCACCTTCCTGTCTCATAAGGGGTACAAAGCAGTATAAATTTAAAAGTATCGACCGATCGAAATAAAAGTCGAAGGATGGTTACACGTTGAACGGCAATTAACGACATAAAAGCGTAAGAGTGGCGTGGGCAATAATAATTTAATATTATGTCAGCAGTGTTGTCGCTGAGAGAGGTCCCCCCGCCCGTTCTTCCCTCAGCGATGTCGTCTCACGTCGGCTGATGATCCCGCAACAACAACAGTCGAACCAGCTCTAACGACCACCTGTCTAAGACAATCAACAATCACCTATGTAAACGACTTTTCCATCTTTTATCTATCTATCTATCTATCTATCTGTCTATCTATCTATCTATCTATCTATCTACCTATCTATCTATCTATCTATCTATCTATCTATCTATCTATCTATCTATCTATCTCTCTATCTCTCTATCTATAGATATCTATCCATCCATCTATCTATCTATTTATCTATCTATATTATTAGAAAGAAAAAAAAACACTGCCCGTTTTACTTCTCGACAATATGAG